CTACACACACACACACACACACTACACTACACACACACACACACACACACACACACACACACACACACACACACACACACACACACACACACACACACACACACACACACACACACACACACACACACACACACACACACACACACACACACACACACACACACACACACACACATACTCGCGCTCACACCGGAACAAGGACGGCAGCGTGTGTTGTCGTGGTTTGGGTTTGCACCTGCTCGTATTTCCCACGCACGGTAGCAGCGCAGCACCCGATGTTGGTGATGCACCGCCATATGTCCGCTGCGCTCACTAATCACTCCCTAATAACCCGCCAGCCGCAGCCGCCTCCTCGCTATCAATGCCCGTGCCCGGCCGCCCGCACCCACCTACACACACCTGCCGCATTCGGCCCGCTAGAATTCTCCCACGGTGGCTCGGCCATGAAGATGACAGCGAACTATCGCGGGTTTGATATGGAGCACGGATGCATCTGCCGTGTGCCCGGCCGAGGCCACGCGCAGGTAAGCCATACGTTTATCGATCGCCTGGTGGGTTAGCTCTAGAACTATAGCCCTTCGCTCCTGTGGCAGAGCGAAGGGCTATAGTTATAAAGCAACTGGTGGTTCTGCTGCGGTTAGAGCCCGGGAGAAGATTGTCCGGGTGAGGATGGAAGGATGAAAGTCGGAGGATCAGATGGAAGTCGGAGGATCAGATGGAAGTCGGAGGATCAGATGGAAGTCGGAGGATCAGATGGAAGTCGGAGGATCAGATGGAAGTCGGAGGGAGGCTGCTGGAGTATGATTGCTGGCGGTGGCTGAGCGCGGCTGTGCGCCAGCATGATATGACGCCTACAGGCACGACGTTTGTAACATGGTCGTGTTAACTAAACGACGCTTACCTAAAAGATCATATCAGTTGTTAGTAGCGCGGGACAGTTTAAAGCCAGACGAACGCTAAAATCGTTTATGAATAATGATAATATGCAAATAACAATCAAACTAGTGGAGCGAAAATGGTAAATAGTGGGAGAAATGCAGAAAAATTCGAAGAAAAGATAAAAGAATTGTAATATTTTGTCCATATTGCGCTACACATTACGTTCGTACGCTTAAAAATTTATAGAAAATAAAAAACAAACAATTAACGCTTCATTTTCACATATAATCACCCTTAAACGTTCCGCGAAAATGATAGATACGAATGAATAACAATTAACGCCCCTCTGCGTCTGATCAAATTTCGCACTATTATCCCTCCCCCGTATTTAAATTGCACGCGAATCTTCTGCCTAATAGCTTTGTCTGACAAAACATTTCGAGTACCTCTGCTATACGCGTACAAGGTCGTCAGCACGAGTTTAGAACTAGTCGATGGATCGAATACGTGTGACCGACATATTTTTTTCTCGAACAGTTGTTACAGGAGTAAGGCACTCGAGGCCGTAGTTGAGTGTAAGGGGATGCGTATACACAGGCCTGAATAGACTGTCACGAGTACAGACGAACTTAATCTGTGGTCACGACACAGGCTACGTCTAAAGGCACTGGGAACGTCTCAATAAAAAAAATTATTTCGTAAATAAACACGAAATGTATTTACTACCAAAGTCTAAAGTCTTAACGTTTCTCTACTCGTTTTCACCTATTATTGCCGATAATTTCCTGTAAATGCAGTTCAAATGCTCCTCTGCAACACAAGTACATCGCACGCACGCCACTATGCACAAACAACAAGAATAAAGAATTTGTTTATTCTTTATTCTTTATTCTTGTTGTTTGTGCAAATTGTTCTTATTCTTGGTGTCAGACTCCGAATGACACCCGTTACGCTAAACATGCGCTATTTTCCATACGACCAGACTTATACACCTAAACAGAATACCCCGTATACAGACTGCATATTTGCTCCTTAGAATACCACCAGGAGTAAGATAATATAAGATCCTATATTATCTTACTCCTGATACCATTTATACATCAGTGGCGTAAATCCACTATTAAACGCGTCTCAGCACGATCGAGCCACGAACGGTCGGCAGCGCATTTTTTTCTCCCTCCCTCAAGTTCAAAAGCCGGCGTTTCGAGCGACAATCGCCTATCGATCCCCCCATCGTCTGCCGCAGTTCCCAACTACCGCCAGCTCGGCCGCGGTCGGCGACGATACAATCTGCATATATCGAAGCGGCAACGTACTCGTGGGAAACTTCGTGGGAATCGCGACAGATGGTCGCACCTATACACAACCACACAGTCGACCCCGGTGCGTCGCGTCGCACGGACCGATCTTCCTAGGCAGCTCTCCAGTACTACATTGTGCGCTATGACCCCCCCTCTCTTTATTCAATCAGCTAATTTGAGTGTCGTATATCGGCAGCAGAAGTTAACGCACCGGTAACCGTAACCGGGTTGGCTGTGGGAAAACTTCGGTAGTCCATCTGTCTCTAATAGCGCTGCCGGGTTCGGCGGCAGGTAGCTATTCAAAAATCTTCAGGTGTGCGCTCCCCCTCCCCCTCCCCTCCTCCTCCTCCCTCTCCTCCTCCTTCCCTGCCGCGCCCTCCTACGTACGTAAGACGGCCGGGGCGTCTGGGAAGCGATTAAGCGTAACGCTCGACGTTGCTTTTCGATGAATGCCAATTCATTACGAGCATCACGACTCGAATAAAAGCCGCTCCGGCCGCAGATGCGCCGCGACGCCTTTAAGGAGTCGCATTCTTGCCTGTTTGCGTAAGCCCGCCCTCCCCGCGTGAGCCGTGGCGCCAGACGAAATGTAGCAAAACATTGCTAAACATACACAAGTATGCAAATTCGCAGGTGTTCACAGCGAGAAGTACCACCAGGCCGGAGGTGCCGGGTGGGATCGCCGTTTATCGTTCTGCGATGTTCGGAACATTTGATCTCGGCCGTGATTGACAGGCTTGTTGTCTTGACGACCGCCAGCCTGGCGCCAGACGACCAGCCCGGCCGTCTTGTATGAATAGGTGACGTCACAGGTCTGGCGCCAGCCTGGCGGAGACGGGTGTTACAGATTGTAGCGTCTTCAGTACAATTAATCACTTGTCACTATCTAGTTGTAAGTGTACACACACGGTGAATCGATGGGAACCGCTGCGTGCACACCTGTGCGCAGTTTTGCCCCTAATAAGACGTTCTTTTTTCGCGGAAAGACGGTAGAACGATGTCCAAGCCCAGTCCGATGGAAGCGTCGGCGCTCGAAACTCGGTAGGCTGGCATGAAAATAAACTTTTGTGTGGCTCATTTGCGGAACAGTTGTGCGTGTTTGTTGTTATTTATTGCCCCGGGAGGTGGCAGGACGTCTACTGTGGGAAAATCGCCACGGTTGGTTGACAGGGACGCGTAACAGATGTCACGCGGCCGCTGATTGGTCGAGCCGAGCGTGAGAGCGGAGTCAGTGATTTTCGTTAATCGGTGCGCCGCGTCTGCGTGCAGCTTTGGTGGGCGTGGCCAACGCTCGCGCCTACCCTATATAAGCGCGCAGTCTCCACGCATACACAACATTCCGTCGTTCGCCGGAGAAACATTGACATCGTCCGTTCACAGCGTTTACGAGTTCAGTGTTTACATTTCGAAGATGAAGGCTGCAGCGCCAAAGCCGAGCAACAGGAAGTCTCCCGTTAGGGAAGGAAAAATCCAGAAGAAGAAGGGGATGGAGTTGGATGAGATGACCGAGTGTTTCCTGCATCTGCGAGAGATCGTGCCGACGATCCCGCGCGACAGGAAGTTAAGCAAGGTGGAGATCTTGCAGCATGTGATCGACTACATCGTGGATCTACAGCTAGCGTTGGAAGGTCACCCGCTTCTCACACCGCCCCCGAGAATGATGCCGGCGTGTGTGAACCGAGTTCCGCTGGGCGAGTGCACGATAGAGAACACGACCTTCACCGAGGTAATTACATCACTTTATTATGCTACCCGTTCATCCTCTCTTTTAGTTTAATTTTTAATTTTATTATCAACGATTATTTTAGTTTGCAGGTGGGGATCACGGGTGTGTTTTCGCATATGGGCTAAACTAATCCGGGTTGCTAAACTAGGCTTGGGCCCGCAGGTGTGGGAGGCTTGCTGGAGTATATGGCTGGTGTGTGTATGTTGCAGCAACTATGGGCGGTGAAGGTTAGGTACAATGTGACCCGGTTAGCTCTGTCGACTGTGCGTGCGTGTGCGTTCGCGAGTGTGCGTGTTTGTTCGTGTCGCAGCTTCTACAGCTGAAATCTGCTCGGCAACACAGATAGTATTGCGCAGCGGGCAACACTATATAGCTGCTGCCACTGCATCGATGCGTCAATGTTTGTACAGATGGCCCGCTACATAGCAGCAGCTGCTAGCGCCGAGTCAAGAGCCCTGTGTCGTGGTCCTCCGCTAGTAGGATCGATATGGGGAGAGAGAGAGAGAGAAAGGGAATATAGATACATAACTAGTGTGCTGTCGCTGGGCGGAATGAAAATCCCACAGAACATCAGACTTTTCAGAAATCGCGCCATTTCTCGCATCGGGGGGCGCGTGAGGGAATTAGTACTAGTAGTAGTAGCAGCTATGTTTTTGTTGCAGTTTCAATAGAGTTGCTGGCAGCCGGCCTCGCTGCTCGCTGCCATGGCGACTGGCCATCACTTTAATCATGCACTTCTCATTAAGGCTTCAGCGTCTGGATCGATGCGGCCGTGTCAGGGCAGTTCAATCAAATTCCGGCGCAATAGCGAGCAAAATTTCCCCAGGGGGGCGATAAAGCCCACGGCGCGTCATCGCGCGGTCGTGTTGCTGTACAAATTTCGATGAATAATTCAGCGCGGTAACATGTTCGCATTAGCTGCTGGCGTTTTGGCGGGACTGCCCTGTACTGTAGTAACGCTAGCGTTTCCCCCTCCACCGTCTAGCCGCCTCCGCAGCGGGCGCATGCTGACTGTAGAACGCACCGACCGAGGCCTTACGCAAAGATCGATATCAGATCTTTATATCGCTCTCTCTCTCTCTCGCCCTCTCGGTCTCTCACACATCGTGGTCAAGGGCCGGGTGGGCACTGCGGGGAGTTTATAGCGTGCGTGGCTCGGTAGGGTTGATTTTGTCGTGGCAGTGTTTGTTTGTGTGTTTGTTTCTCTCTCATGTCGTGCTAACGTGGTTTTGTTTGTTATCGCAGCATCACGGAGCCTGCTCAATGTCCAACAAATGTCCTGTCGTGCGACCCGAGAGCTGCGAAACGCGACCAGTGTCCTGTTGACGCGACAGTTGACATCGCCGAACGCGAAACCGTCAACAACATGCGTCATCACCAGGTGTGTATGCACGGCAATGCGCGTCTGCGTTTGTTCTCCTTTTATCATGGCCGGGGCCCCAGTTAGCCAAGGCAGGGCGGCCCGGATTTCTGTGAAACAAAGCGGAAAAAAAAACGAATAAGGAAGTGTCAGGCCACAATTAATTTCGTTCTTCTTTTGTCATCGTTTCGTTTGCGGTGGTGGTTGCTAGGCGGTAAATGACAGACGAGCACGAAACTAAATTGGCCAGTATCCTGTATACAACCGTGATGCACCCATCCGTGCACAGCCCACACCCCTTGTACGGACACTGCCTGCAATCTCGGTTCTTGTCTCGCGCGTAAACAGGTGTTACGGATAGCGGGGCGGCCCCTCCCACCACCACCACACACACACGTTCACACACACGCACCGCATCGATGCTGAACGCTGTCATTGTGCCGGGGTCATGTTTAGAAAGCTTCGCGTTCCCATGACACGAAATGCGGGTGCTCCCGTGCGCGGTGAAGCAATTTCGGCAAAACCGCACCTGCGCGTGAGGGCGGCGGATGACTACCCGATTGTTTCCTCTGCCAATTCGGGTTGCTTATTTGGCAGATTAGCTGGCGCACCGCGTTTTGTTTGGCTTGCAGCGGCGGGGGAAATGGGGATAAAAATGGCCCCGTGCGGGTGGGGTGGATATTGTGAATGGGACACAAAAAAGCAGAATTAAGGGTTCACAAAACACTCACTAGGGCGGTGCGCCGTCAGCTGTGAAGAATCTTCAGTCGTGAGTTGAGCACACGAAACGGATCTCGCCGTTATTTGCACTGCGCCGGTTTTCAAATAAAATTAATTCTTGATATGTTGATTCTGCAGCTGCAGGTGTGGAACAGGTAAAACACGCTATTATTCGACGCCCGTGGGAACGGTATTCGCGAGTACTAAAGTCATTTTTTTCTGTCGTAATTCTTTAGATTCCTAAGAAAAAGAACAACAAGGGAGCGCGAGAGTGAGATAATCGCTGCTGGATGAAGCGAAGCGAAGCGAAGCGAGCCAGGCGGAGGAATATGCCAGCCGGCATCTGCGAGTCTGCGCATAATTGCTCTCCTGACAGGATGCCCTCCTAAGACGAACATCTGCCGAACAAGGAGGAGCTGAGAGACTCCCTTCCTCGACCACCTTCACCGGCTTCTCCTGTTCAGGGGTCCTGCTGGAGAACCCACCTGCCTTGGAGGAGCTTCCTTCGTTCAGAACCAAAAGCGTTTATCCGCCGGGAGTAGCGTCCAGTCAGCGATAGGTTCCATGGTGGCGCGTTCCGGAGAAAAAGTGCATTATAGAAAAACTGTATCACCGGTGTGTGCGTGCGTGTCCGTTTATGAGCGTGGTGCTTTCTGTAAATATGAATGTAATTTAATGTACACCCCTCCCTCTTCCCACCTAGTCCTCGCCCACACCAGCACGCACACTGTGCAGTTAACGTCTAGCGTAATCACTAATGTCTCATCCCCAGCCAACTCCTTCACACACAAAACTTCTGTACTCACCAATATCGCATCATTATATAACGAAAGCACTATTTAAGTGTTAAGGTTGTCGTCACTGTGTAATAGAATGTCACTATCGAAGTAAATTTATTGCTTTGTATCCGTGTCATTTCTACTCCTGTGGCTGTGTCTACTTAATTCATGAACAGCGTCACCGAGCCAGCGAGGTGCCTACGCTTGGCAGGTTTTGATGTAGATGTAGTTTCTTTGTATATAACTCGATAAAGACTCCGTAAGAGTCGAAATGCATTTTCTACATCATTTTTGTCGGCATCGCGTAATGCGTTGCGAGTGTTCGAAATTGAAAAGGATAAAATCACCAGGCGCTCTTAAGTCTTAGAATGTTTTAAATTCCGATTATATCATTCAGTTTCCATAGACTGTCATGGCGGATATCCTTCATACCTCACCGACTGCATTCCGCTTTGTTTGATATTGTAAATATAATTGTAAAAACGGTTAGTAGTGAGATGTGTATGATATTGTGTACGCGTAAATATCGTGTTGTATATTATGGACAAGTGAGAAAAGAACAAATGTTTTATAATAAAATGATGATGAGTCAATATAAGTTTGTATTTCGTGTGTGGATCTCTGGCGTTCTCTTCTCATCCCCTTCTCCATCGTCACTTCACATCATTATTTTGCATATTTACTACTGTGCTCCCTCTCTCTCTATTTCTCCCTCTCCTTCTAATATATGTATATATATATATATATATATATATATCTTTCTTTCTTTCTCCCCTCACATCTCTCTCGCTTGCGAACCCCGTCCCCGCTTACCCTCTCTTCTCTACGCGTGTCGTTCTGCTCCTCTCCTATTCTTCGCGCGAAATCCATGTCACTGCATCTCTCCGAAATTACTCGCAGCCCTGTAACACTCTCTACCCGTCGCTGTGCACCAACATGATTTTATCCGTGTATCAGGTGTCGCGCCTTTGATGCGCCGTCGTACCTGAGGCGTAAGCACACCTGTATAGATATTCGATCCAGAGAGGTGTCAACCTTCTTTACGGTGAATGGCCGCACCACTATAAGCCTACCAAGGCTGCGTTAACGCTTATGCCGAACCAAACTACAGATATATTTCTTTTGGGCGCGTTCGCCATAGGCTATTAACGTATAAATATACAGTCCGTGATCCGTTCTCTTGCGTGCTACGCACACATACCCATATCGACAAAATACTCGCTGATAAACACACGACGACACGACATAACGTAGCGTGCACGTACAAGACACACGCTAGGCGTTACTGATATAAACCGCCACAGCAGGCAAAACGCTCAGAATGTGATCTTTTAGAGCAGCAGATTAGCTGATAAGAATCCATATATAATTTACGATATGTATCAGTTTCTAGCTCGTTTAACACAGATTTAAGATGTACGGGGAGTCAAACCCCTCACGCAACTCCGACACAACACGCACACACACACACACAAACACACACACACAAACACCACACACATACAACACACACCACACACACACACACCACACACCACACACACATACGACACACAGACACACAACACACACACACACAACACACACACACAGACAGCATACAACGCGCGTAGGAAGATGATATATTGACCCTAGACTTCGCGCAGGAAAACCTCCAGCGAGAGTTCTCGAGAACAGACGCGTAGAGAAAGATACTGAACAAAAGATTTTACAGAAATATGCAGAAGTGGGATTAGAAGGATTAAGGAAGAAATATAATAGCGATCAGAGACGTGAATCAAGATAAGTTTTATAATCATCCAGAGATGGACGCATATAGTATCAGAGCGCAATCACCGTCTTATCCGCATTTGATTATTGTTGCTGTGACCTGTAGTGTTCTCAGACAAGACCTACATATACTTTGTAACTTGCGTCCGTTATCAATATTAAAAAAACGATAAGCGTAAATATATGCGAATATGCAATCCAATTGCATATAGTGTGACGTTATTATGTAAATTCCTATCGAAACCTAATATATTCTACGTCAAATGGCTGTTAAACGTGCTCCTCTGCTAAACAACACGTCTCACCGTAAAAGCAACACCACTGCTGCCACATAACATCACAGAAAGATACTGTTTTCCTTTCATTTCTCTATGTTTTTAACTTATACTTCTCTTCTTCATCACTGATTTTTTTGCATGAGTCTGTGCACAGTGTGTGCGTGACGGGTGAGCCGCCCTGTTGCTAGCAGGAGGACTTATCTTTTTGAAACGACATTTACGTGAGAAATTAATTAGTGATAGAGGAAATACTTAACATATCATGCCAATACACTCAGGAAAGATTTAAATACAATATCTGTTATTTACCAAATCGTGCTTTATTAAATGTAAATGGTTTAATTGTTTCTAACGACCATCCTTTAATTCATGCATACTCGGTATTAATTGCTGGTACGCACATTTTGTAAACCTGAAGAGCATGTTCGCATATATTCACTCATGCGCCATATTAATCATAAAATATTCAAGCAATACACTCTCCGCAGTCATTACATGTGTATCCATCCGTGTGTATATACATGTGTACTAAGTACAAGAGCTAAATACGTACAAAATAGCAAGTAACATCAAAAGAATGGAATGTAAATGAGTTCATCATCAATGCATCAGAGCAGCATAGGAAACAGGAAAAAATCAAAGTGGAAGAACTCTGTGCAGAACCAAAACGATAATCACAGAAAACAGGCATATAGTCTACGTCACTAAAGAAGGAGCGTATATACGAAATACGTGCAACACTATGGGAAGAATATAATAATCAACAGCAGCCAGAATAAGACATATTACGAGCATGGAAATGAGAGCGGTTCTAAATAAAAATACGTAGCTGATTGCTCATTGAAGCATAGCGAACAAATGATAAGAACGCACTTAGGCTGGTGAGCAAAGGGTGAGACACGTCAACAGCGTGACCGGTAATGCGACAAGCTAGCTCTGTGAATACGTAAGCACGACTTGACACGACCACAGATCAAGGCGATGATCGAACCAAATCGTAGTCGCATTTCCCCAGCCAATGCATATCACTTAACACAACTATCCCATCTTCGTTGGCGCTCATCGCCAGTGTCCTGCTCGCCAGTCATCATCACGCAGGCAGCAAATTTCTCGTCGATTTCTTCTTCGAGATTTGCGATATAGATTGTGCGCATGCGCCGACACGTCGTCGAGGTGTGTGTGGCCGTGGGTGTGGAAGGCGGGCGGGAGTCCGGGCTCACCGGGATC